CACCTATGGCAGAATTAATTCTCTCCATGATGAAACTAAGAAGTACTTCAACTACCAAAAATTCACAACAAAATATTCTAAATATTAAATATACACTGGTTCTTCTTTGACGAGCTAACATCAGGCAAGTTGACTGCTGCTTATAGCTAGGATCAAGCTTTTTGTGGCCAAAGAAAAATTTGGTATAAGGTTAGAATGTTATCATTTTTCTGGAAAAATATGGGGTTTTAGACTTCAGAATTATTATTAAATGCTTTTGAAGACAGTTAATATTATAGGTAGAAATTGTGTATCACAGATAAATTTATGTATCCATGATTCAAAAATCCTTTGGATTTTTACCAAGTAACAAGCATTAACAGCAAAATCATTTGTGATCAGAGGTGAAAACAGCACGCAGACAAACATATTTACAGATCCTGTCAGGGAAAGCAAGTTAAACAAAGAAAATAACACCCTGAACAAAGCTCCAGAGCTCCCCAGCTGCATCATGTGGGTGACTGGACGTGCAGCAGAAAGCAGTGCAGAAACAATCACCTACAGTAGGTGTGAGCTAGAAAAACACAACGTATGTCAGGCCTGTCCCCGAGACACAGCTGGGGCAAAGCTGCTGCCTGGGATGGTGTCCCACGGGACAGGGCCCCATGCTCCTGCCATGCACCATAACACAACACAACAGTCAGAACTGGCTTTTCTTCTTAATGCATGCTAGCACAGTGAAAACATGCAGACCAGCTATGAAAATGATAAATTTGTTCTACCAGTCAACTGTGACACAGAAAAAGCCAAGCAGATGAAGCCTGTGAAAAGTTAAAAATTCTCTTTCATCTCCTATCACTTCTTGTTGTGGTCAGTGAAGCATGCACAGGGGTCACAGGTTCAGATTTTACACCACAGTAAGAATGTTAACTGTCCCTGTAAAACCACTACACAAAGATGACTGTCAAGAGCCTGGGCTTGCTGTGCTTCATTTTCCACTTTTCTGCTTTCTCTACCTCTTTGTGTTTCTCCAACCCTCTTATTGCATTTCTTAGCCTTAGTTTTGGCTTTTAAGATTAAATTCCCCACAGCCTTTCACCCACAGCAACAGCTAGTTGCCAGAGGCATGAGATGAGTCACCATGAGTTTGGGCAAAATAACAAAAAGGCCTTAGACTGAGTATGTTTCCACCTTCCCAACACTGTGCCAAGCTATCTACAAACTTAAAGAAATTTAGAGTTTCATACCCTTATTTCATAACTGAACAGTTAACAGTCACCTATTTGGATTCTGTTTGCTCGACTTTAAGCAAAACAAAATACTGCAGGATCTAAACACACTGAGGAGTTTGCTCGGTAACTGTGAGGCACAGAAGGCTGTGTCACATAGGCCTAATTCTCCACTTGTTACTCCTATAGGGACTCATCAAAGACACCATTATGAACCGGAGACTCTCTCTCCAATTAAGAATTTACATACAGCGTACTTTAATTTCTAGGAATAAGGTTTCTTTTCTGTTGGCCACCAGCAAGATAAAAATCCTAAAGCTGAGCAAAGTTCCATGACTTTAGACACATTTTTTAGTGCTTTGGCCAGTCTGTAAATCACGTGCCCAAAGAACTGTCCTTCCTCCTATTTTAAGTACTTCTGGAAGCCACTGAAACAGAGGCAATTTCGTGCTCTTATATGACATAGCCATATCCCTACACCTGCATCTGATTTTCATTGTGGGTTTGTTCTGCTTGAACTAGATGGTTAAATAAAGAATAAGCAAGGGAACCCCCTCAGAATTCTTTACATAACTGTCTTACATAGGAAGACAAAGGTTTTGCTGAGCTATCTTACTGGTAAAACCATACCAAGCCAAAATCCTCAAAGGAGATTAAACTCTCATAATGGAGTTAAACCATTGTTCCAAACATTGCAAGATACACCAGAAAAGCACCTCTTTTTCAGAACTGTCTGGATGGTTTAAGT